TACATGTACATGTACATGTATATTAATGTACATGTACATTACCAGGTGGTCCTACGAAGCAGAGTATCTTTCCTTGAACTGATCCTTTCAATCTTGAGACTGCAATGAACTCCAGTATTCTGTCCTTAATGTCCTTGAGTCCGTAATGATCCTCATCAAGTATAACCTTAGCCCTCTCTAAATGGAAGTCCTCTTTACTGGTCTTACCCCAGGGTATACTGGTCAACCAGTCAAGATAGTTCCTTGTTACACTGGGAGAGAGAGAGAGAGGGAGAGAGAGAGAGAAAGATCAAGGATGATTAAGTCATTCAATCTCTTTCTTTTTTACTTAAATTCTGATGAGTGGTTATCAAGGAAGGACAGTTTGTTCAGTTCTTCTTCAATCACAGTCTCCACTTCCTTTGGTACAGTCATCGACGATATCTTTTCACAAAACTTGTCCAATATGGCATCCTTGTCATCTTTCTACAATAAAAACAACAACTTAACCAACTTCTTCCATTCACTACTCCTCCCTCTCTCAGTCTCCATTACTTCTATTCCTAGTTCTCTCTTTATTATTTTCAGTTGTTCTTGTAATAAATATTTCCTCTGCATTTTAGTAAACTTCTCTTCGACCTAAAAATGACAAAAAATATTCAAAATAAAAGAATAATTATACGGCAAGAAAATGTGCATGGTGAAGCAAATAAAGTGAATTGAACTCAGTTGCATTTATAATATTGGTAAATTAATTTTAGTTACAAATACATGTACATGTGCTTACTTCTTTTCCAAGTTTCTTTTGTAGTGTTACAATGGCTAATTCTTTCTTGAGCAGTTCAAGTGTTAACATCAATCGCTCAGGAATCTAACAATAATAATTATAAAAATAATAATAATAATAATGATGATAAAGTGATTACGTCTGGACATTCAAGAACTGCTTGAATTTGATGTGATTCTCCACTGGTCAGTGCAGCTCCAAAATCAGCAAGATGTGTAGGATCATCTATAACTCTTTTACCAGCCTCAATGATCTGAGCCAATGACTCTCTGTGGGACAAGAGAGAGAGAAAAAATTAAAATTATTTAAGATAGTTTTTTTTATCATTATTATTATTATTACCTATACAGTGGATTCAATGAAATGATGTCTCTGATAGTTTTAATCACTTCAGCTGACAATGCCTGCATGATATAATAGTAATGATATTATTGATGTTAATAATAATAATACTAATTCCATACTCCATACTCATATTCTCATTCCTATAATCCCATACCTTGATCTCTTGTGACTTCTCAATAGGTTCATGGTACACATTCTCAGTCCTAACCATTAATATCGGTCTATTATCATTAGTAACACCTCCTGACCCCTCCCCCTCGTTAAGTGAGTCTTTATTGTTTGAGTTAGCACGAGAGAGTTTTTGAAGACGTGACAGTTTCCGACTGAGAGGAGATCCTTTCTTCTTCTTGGAGTTTGGAGTCTTTTCATTGTTGCTGTTAATAATAGCATCTTCATCAACAACACCAGTTATACGAATACTAATAAAAATAAATTTAAAAATTCATAAAAAATAAAATTTTGATTGGAATGAGCTCAAACTTTCTACAGAGCATAAGAACATGTATATGTATCAGGAAAAATTATAAAAATGGAGGGTTCTCTACTTTTCATTTTTGGTTAAATTTGACAACGACCCTGTACAGGGACTTTGGCCCGGTTTCAAGAAACTTTAAAAATTTGTAAAAATCCAATTTTGATTGGAATAAACATAAGAACATGTATATGTATCAG